GTCCTGTTTGGCAGAACTCCTGTACCTCACTTCCTGTCATGTGTCCTTTTCCCCAAGAGTTGAGTGTGTGTTCTGTGTAATGGGCTGGAAAACAAGCATGGCCCCGTGAACTCCTCCTTTACTTCCTTTAGCTTTGGGGCTCAGACGTGTCTCGGACATCAGACACCTTACGCCAGTGATCTCAAACTCAATTCCTGGAGGGTCACAGCTCTGCACAGTTTAGCTCCAACCCTAATCAAATACCCCTGATCCAGCTAATCAAGTTCTTCAGGATTACTAGAAACTTCCAAGCAGGTGTGATTTGGAGCTGGTTGGAGCTAAACTCTGCCGAGCTGCGGCCCTCCAGAAATTGAGTTTGAGACCACTGTTATAGACTGTATGTATATAAGTGTGTGTTACACACCTGTGTGAGCATTAGTCTCAGTGTGTGTGTGCTGTCATCGGTGAGGTTCGTCGCTCCTTGTTTCTCAATCTCTTCACACACAGACTCAACTTCAGTCCTCCAGTGTGAGACGCCGCCGCTGAAACACACCAGCTGCACACAAACACACACTCAGAGAGAAGAACAGGGCTAAAGCATATGTATGGGGCTGTTTACACCTGGTCACTTCATGCGTTTTGTCTGATCGGATAGCTATCCGATCGAGAAAAGGCCAGGTGTAAATGCCCTCCGAAACGCATTCGAGACAGATATAAATCCGATCGCTCAAACCACTTCAGGAGGTGGTCTGGGCCGCATTCCAGACGAAACTGGACCAGTGTAAATGCATCTGGTTGTTGAAACCCCATATGCAAATTTTACTCCTCCCAAAATGTTAAAATATTAAACGTGTGAGAGCGTGTTATAGGCTATATGACATTATAGTCAGATATGACTGCGCTAATGCAACACTCAGCAAGCCGACGCGCAAACTGCCGCGAATGAAACTGAAAGTAAGACGCAGACGGTCAACACACAATCATCTTCATTAAAAGTAGTAAGACAAACTTATCTTTCCAGTGCTGATGCGCTCTCCTATTGCGGTCTTTGATCTTGAAATGAGCTGATAATAAAATGCAGCGCTTATCTTTTGATTTCGTTGACGTGAACACTATGTGGCCAAGTGTAAATGGAAACGTTTTAACAAATCAGATAGATATCCGATCAGCGAAAACGCATGAAGTGACTAGGTGTAAACAGGCCCTATATGTGTGTTACCTGTGTGAGCAGCTGCAGCGCTGCAGGTCTCAGTCTCTGGTCACAGGAGAGTAAAGAGAAAAGCAGGAACCGCATCCACGGCTGACACACCATGTGCTGCGCTACACACACACCAATAACACAATCATGAGAGTTTGTCCGTCTAAAGCCTGTTGTTAATATTTGACTCTATCAGTGAGCTCATCTCATAGACTTATCAGGTTAATGACCCTGAACTGACCCTCACAGAAACCTGTGCTAAACACTAGCGGAAACACGATCTGACCGATTCTTGAGTGCTTTTAACTAGCGAACCGCTTTTACTGCATGATTGAGGATGTTGTGTGTATTTGTACCGGTTTCAGGGCTCCGTCTGCGCAGAAATCCCATCAGAGACCTGAGACAGTTCAGACCGGCGCTGACCATCAGATCCTGCGTCTGTCACACACACATCAGTCATCGATCCATTGACTCTCACTCATCAATCAGATGTCTGTGCTGAAGATCCTTTACCCTGATTTGCCGTTTGCAGTGAAAAATGACCCAACTTTTAAAAATAGCTTTCCAATTTCTCATTGTGCTGTATTATCACCAAATCTTGTCTTCAGTATTGTCAACCTGTTTTCTTTTAATTAGAACAGGTTTTGTGTTTCTTTTTGAAACTGATCGTAGGATTCATTGATCTGGGCTTAAACCTTTTTGATTAATAAAAGCATTATTTGTGGATAACTTTGGCAATTTTCAGTTTTTGAGGGGGAAAAAAACCCATCTGTAGATTATTTTGGCAATATTCCATTTTTGAGAGAAAAAAACATTGTGGATGATTTTGGCAATATTCCATTTTTGATAACATTATTGGTGGATAATTTTGGCAATATTCAGTTTTTGATTGATAAAAACATTATTGGTGGATAATTTTGGCAATATTCCGTTTTTGATTGATCAAAACATTATTGGTGGATGATTTTGGCAATATTCCATTTTTGATAACATTATTGGTGGATAATTTTGGCAATATTCCATTTTTGATAACATTATTGGTGGATAATTTTGGCAATATTCCATTTTTGATAACATTATTGGTGGATAATTTTGGCAATATTCCATTTTTGATAACATTATTGGTGGATAATTTTGGCAATATTCCATTTTTGATAACATTATTGGTGGATAATTTTGGCAATATTCCATTTTTGATAACATTATTGGTGGATAATTTTGGCAATATTCCATTTTTGATAACATTATTGGTGGATAATTTTGGCAATATTCCATTTTTGATAACATTATTGGTGGATAATTTTGGCAATATTCCATTTTTGATAACATTATTGGTGGATAATTTTGGCAATATTCCATTTTTGATAACATTATTGGTGGATAATTTTGGCAATATTCCATTTTTGATAACATTATTGGTGGATAATTTTGGCAATATTCCATTTTTGATAACATTATTGGTGGATAATTTTGGCAATATTCCATTTTTGATAACATTATTGGTGGATAATTTTGGCAATATTCCATTTTTGATAACATTATTGGTGGATAATTTTGGCAATATTCCATTTTTGATAACATTATTGGTGGATAATTTTGGCAATATTCCATTTTTGATAACATTATTGGTGGATAATTTTGGCAATATTCCATTTTTGATAACATTATTGGTGGATAATTTTGGCAATATTCCATTTTTGATAACATTATTGGTGGATAATTTTGGCAATATTCCATTTTTGATAACATTATTGGTGGATAATTTTGGCAATATTCCATTTTTGATAACATTATTGGTGGATAATTTTGGCAATATTCCATTTTTGATAACATTATTGGTGGATAATTTTGGCAATATTCCATTTTTGATAACATTATTGGTGGATAATTTTGGCAATATTCCATTTTTGATAACATTATTGGTGGATAATTTTGGCAATATTCCATTTTTGATAACATTATTGGTGGATAATTTTGGCAATATTCCATTTTTGATAACATTATTGGTGGATAATTTTGGCAATATTCCATTTTTGATAACATTATTGGTGGATAATTTTGGCAATATTCCATTTTTGATAACATTATTGGTGGATAATTTTGGCAATATTCCATTTTTGATAACATTATTGGTGGATAATTTTGGCAATATTCCATTTTTGATAACATTATTGGTGGATAATTTTGGCAATATTCCATTTTTGATAACATTATTGGTGGATAATTTTGGCAATATTCCATTTTTGATAACATTATTGGTGGATAATTTTGGCAATATTCCATTTTTGATAACATTATTGGTGGATAATTTTGGCAATATTCCATTTTTGATAACATTATTGGTGGATAATTTTGGCAATATTCCATTTTTGATAACATTATTGGTGGATAATTTTGGCAATATTCCATTTTTGATAACATTATTGGTGGATAATTTTGGCAATATTCCATTTTTGATAACATTATTGGTGGATAATTTTGGCAATATTCCATTTTTGATAACATTATTGGTGGATAATTTTGGCAATATTCCATTTTTGATAACATTATTGGTGGATAATTTTGGCAATATTCCATTTTTGATAACATTATTGGTGGATAATTTTGGCAATATTCCATTTTTGATAACATTATTGGTGGATAATTTTGGCAATATTCCATTTTTGATAACATTATTGGTGGATAATTTTGGCAATATTCCATTTTTGATAACATTATTGGTGGATAATTTTGGCAATATTCCATTTTTGATAACATTATTGGTGGATAATTTTGGCAATATTCCATTTTTGATAACATTATTGGTGGATAATTTTGGCAATATTCCATTTTTGATAACATTATTGGTGGATAATTTTGGCAATATTCCATTTTTGATAACATTATTGGTGGATAATTTTGGCAATATTCCATTTTTGATAACATTATTGGTGGATAATTTTGGCAATATTCCATTTTTGATAACATTATTGGTGGATAATTTTGGCAATATTCCATTTTTGATAACATTATTGGTGGATAATTTTGGCAATATTCCATTTTTGATAACATTATTGGTGGATAATTTTGGCAATATTCCATTTTTGATAACATTATTGGTGGATAATTTTGGCAATATTCCATTTTTGATAACATTATTGGTGGATAATTTTGGCAATATTCCATTTTTGATAACATTATTGGTGGATAATTTTGGCAATATTCCATTTTTGATAACATTATTGGTGGATGATTTTGGCAATATTCCATTTTTGATAACATTATTGGTCGATAATTTTGGCAAAATTCAGTTGTTGATAGATAAAAACATTATTGGTGGATAATTTTGGCAATATTCAGTTGTTGATAGATAAAAAAAACATTATTGGAT